CACACGCGCCCGGCGTGAGTTTAAGCCACCGAGTCTGGGACTTGAACCGCAGTCAACTACATGGGAGTCCAGCGACGTAGCCATTACACTATCTGCTGGTCCCTCGTGGTAAGTTCTGATGAGTTAGCTGTTGGTCTTGATAACCAGCTGTTTCAGCCTTATCTTCCAGAAGCAAGTATTTCTCAGGGCAAGTAGCTAAGTTATTTTTGCGTATTCTCAGTGTTATTTAAACATGGGGACAGGAAAGTATGCTTGGTCTCAGTATTGTTTAACATAGGGACAAGGAATAACAAATTACCCCAAAACGTAGTGACTTAAAACAATAAACATTTATTATCTCCCAGTTTCTGAGGGCCAGGACTTGGGAGTGCCTTCACTGGGTGGTCCTGGCTTGGGGGGGTCTCTCACGAGGTTACAGCCAGGATGTTTGCTGGGGCTGCCAGCAAACAGTCCTCTGAAAGCTTCGCCAGGGCTGGAGGATCCGCTTTCAGCATGACTCATTCATGTGGCTGGTGAGATGGTGTTGGCCGTTGGCAGGAGGGCTCAGTTCCTTGCCATGTGGAATCCTCCAATGAGGCTGATTCCACACCCTCGTGACATAGTAGCTGGTGTCCCCCAGAGCAGGTGATTCCAAAGGGATCCAGGCTGAACCCACAATATTTCCTTGGAAACCTCACTTCGTTTCTGCAGTACCCTCTTGCTATTACTGGTCGGCCATATTCAATGTGAGAGGTGACTGCAAGGGTCAAGGGTCAAGAACCATAGGGAGAGATTTCAATGGTAAATGTGGGCAGTGGTATAAGGGATAGCGGTGGAGGTTCTTGGGTCGTGGAGCTGAGAAGCAGCAGTGGAGGTCTGAATATGTGGGGGGCCGACCCACCTTCTACCCGCCTTCTTATAGCTCATTATCCCAGTCATTATTGCTACGCAACTTTAGTGACTTCAAACAATCACTTCATTATGCTCTGAACTCTATGGGTCAGGAATTCAGTCAGGACACAGTAGGGGATGGCTTGTTTATGGCCCACAATGTCTAGGGTAGGGCCTCAACTGGAAAGGTCGATAACGATGTGGTAGTTGGGGCTGGAGTCACCAGAAGGTTCTATCATTTACATGTCCTGCATCTGAGCGAGGAGGACTCGAAGACTTGGACTATGGATTGAGGTGTCCACAGGAGATCTCCCTGTGTGACTTGAGCTCCCTCATAGCATGGCGGCCTCAACAGAGTGAGACTCTTTACACTGTGACTCAGGGCTTCAAGTGTGTTTGTTCCAGCAAACAAGGTAGGAGTTGCATGGACTCAAGACCCGGCCTGGGCAGTCATCCAACCCCACTTCCGCCATATTGATTGAAGCAGTCACAGCCAGTCTGGAATCAGGGAAGGTGAAATAGACCTCATCTCTCAATAGGAGTATCAATGTCACATTGTAGAAGAGCACGTGGGGTGGATGATATCATTACAGCCTTCCTTAGAAAATACAGTCCGCTAGGCACAACAATTGTCCAAGGCTTTTTAACTTTGAAAAAGTTTATTTATTTCATGAGAGAGAGAAAAGGACAAGCGTTCTCACCAGGGTCTCACACCATGGTTTCTCTTGGCCTCGTTGTCTTCCCAGCCAGCCAGGACCACAGGGCCACACGCCTGGCATGTACAGGTTGACTGGGGAACCAAACTTGTGATCTTCTATATGGATCCAGCATCACTTGAGCAGTACAGCACTGCTGTGTCACTGAGTCAAGCCCTCTCAAGACTTTTGTCTTCAATGGGTAAGAGCAGTGGGGGCAGGGGGAATTTGGGAGCCCCAGGCATCCCCCAGAAACATCTTTGTTAGATAATGCTTGTTCCTTTCTTTTTAATTTTTTTTTCCATAAGGCACATGCATGTGCTGGAAGAGGGGTTGCTGGACTCACCCCCATGGGGCATGGTCACACCATAATCTCTTCTCTGTCCTGTCAGGATTTTGGGCATGCATGCATATGCTCCCAGTGTTTTGTTTCTGATTGTTTGGTTGTTGTTTTGCTTTGTTTTGTTTTTGGAGAGGTTTTTGCTATAGGGTGTGTGAGTTCACCAGACAGAGAAAGAAAGAGACAGAAAGTGAGAAATGATCCCCCAGAGGGGGTGGCCATGCCACAATCCCTTCTCCATTCTCCACTCGGGATCCTGGGCACATACGCACACGCATCCCTGCGTGAGTTTAAGCCACCAGGTCCGGGACTCGAACTGCAATTGGCTACATGGGAGTCCAGCGACATAGCCATTACACCAACTGCTGGTCTCGTTTGTTTGGTTTTTTAATCTGTTGAGTCTGGGACTCAAACCACACAGTTGACCATGTGGGAATCCCGCTGCCCCATACCACTGGTTCCTTTCTGATCAGAGATCACCGGCTGCAGTGGTCAAATGTTTGTGTCCTTCCAAAATTCATACCCAATCCCCAATGCAATTATATTAAGAGGTGGGGCTTTGAGGAGGTGATTAGGTAATAAGGGTGGAGCCCTCATGAATGGGATTAGTTCCCTGGTAAAAGAGACCGCAAAGGGACCAGCAGTTAGTGTAATGGCTATGTCGCTGGGC